ACTGCCGACTCCTTCAATGTGTGATCCACTGGAACCCCCAGAAGTTTTTCCGCAGTCCTGCTGCCTAGCCAGTGATTCCCCATTTCGTAGTTGTACATTTGATTTTTCCTTCCAAAGTGCAGCACTTTGTCTTTATCGAATGTCCCCTTAAATCGATTTTAATCCTTCCTCCCTTCGCCTTTTGTCTCTTGTGTCTATTTAGTCTGTAAACGCCCTGGGGCAGGGACTGTCTCTGTCTGTGTGTCTGTGCAGCACCCAGCATGTTGGGCCCTGGTTTTGCCTTGAGCCGCTAGGCACTGCCATAGTGCTACTGATAATAGCACATTATAAACTCCTTAGAGCTGGGAATGTCTCTTCCATCATATCTCTTGCCACGCCCAGCACACGGATAGAGCTCACTGCATAATTAGAAACAATTAACAAACAGCTCATTGAATAGTCATCAGATGGCCCTGACTTTCCACCCCTACGAACCTAGGTGGAGTTTGGAGTCTATGACCTAGAAATGAGAGACTCATCCTCCATCCCCAATCTGCTGAGGTCTCCATTCCACCAGCTACACTACAAATCAATACCCTGTCTGTAGGTAAATCACTCTTTTCTCAGGCTGCTCTATTCTGGAGTCTAGTCAGAATAACAACAGCCCCAAGATTAGATTTAACGGAGAGAGATTGGGAACCAGCCCCACACTCTGCACTGCTGGACCATGGGGAGCCACATCTCATGTTTAAAATCCCTTCCCTGCATTGGGGAGTGAAAGGGAGAGTGAGAAGGAGCCACCTACCTGCTCAAGGTGCCTTTGATGTCCTAGAGGAGAAAGATAAAAGGAAATTCAGTCCCATCTCTCTCACTAAGGATCCCTCCTGCTCTGGAGGGGACTCACTTTGTCTTCACAGTTTGAGGTTCAAAGCGAAATGATTTGTTATTTATTAATGCAAACAAAACATTACATGTGCTGCCTTTGCTCTTTTGGAGAAGTGCTCGGACTGCAGGATCTGGGCCCAGGAAGTTTGTACTGGGGGCACATAGGCGCTTTGTGTAATGACATGTGGATAACCACCCGGCACATGGAATCAGAGGGCTCAGTCTTGTGATGTGTTGAACAAAGATCTCCCGAACACTCACAGGTGTGGGGAAGATCCCCTCCTGCAGACTCCAGTGGGTCCAGAGGGAGGGATGCCCCCATGCTGTGCTGCTCCCGAGCTGTCAACTCTCTCCCCACTCGCCCACAAACATTCTGAAGACCCGTCCTGTGGGCTTCTTGACATCCACAGGAAATTAGGGCTGGGAGAGAACAATGGGTGTGGGGTACAGAGTAACAGAGGGCCAATCACTATCCTACACCCCAGGTTCAATGCAGGAAACCTGAGGAGTGAAGAATGCTGCCCACAGCAGATACTGGTCACAACTGAGAATCTGACCCTAGATATCAGCTAGAGAAGTCCAGGATGTTACATTTTATGTCTCGCCATTTTTTCTTTTTTTGTTAGTTAGAGGCATTTTGAAAATAAAATCATTAGAAGGCTTTTGGAATTCTAACCACTAGTTACACTTTCAGGCTACCATAATTAATGAACAGCTCCTATCTAACGTCAGTTCTGGCAGAAAAATCACAACAGCCTCAGACCTCATGTGTGAATTTTAAGGCCAATATTTTCCCTTTTTGTGGTGTGTAGAAAAAGTGGCAAAATCAGGCTTTAAATGGAATCTTAGCTTCAATCTTAGCTATTTCCATAATTAAAGGCAGGGGGCACACAGCCTCTTTGTGTAATGACATGTGGATAACCAGCTGGCACATGGAATCAGAGGGCTCAGTCTTGTGATGTGTTGAACAAAGATCTCCCGAACACTCACAGGTGTGGGGAAGATCCCCTCCTGCAGACTCCAGTGGGTCCAGAGGGAGGGATGCCATTCCATCTTTAATCTTTTGGAGTTAGTGTTTAGAACACAAGAAATGCCAGACTGGCTCAGACCGGAGGTCCATCTAATCAGTATTCTGTCTCCAAAGGTGGACAGGGCCAGATGATTCAGAGGAAGGTGTAAGATGATCTGCCTCCTACATTCTCATCCTTCTCTCTAATAGTTAGTGACTGCCTGAAGCAATGCAGCATGAGGTTTAATATCACTCTGCATATTCTTGTTATCCATATAAATATCTGATCACTTTTTGAGTTTTGCTAAATGCTTGGTCTCAATGACATCCGGTGGCAATGAGTTCCACAGTCTAATTACGTGATGTGTGAAAAAGCGTTCATTGGATCAGTTTTGAATTTGTCACCTTCTGATTTTATTGAATGTCCTTTTGTTCTTGCATTATGAGACAGGGAGAACAGAGTTTGGAGTTTGCCATTTTTGGAGTTTTCTCCCACTAGAATTCAAAAGAAGAATTTCTTTTCATTTAGGGCTCGATCCAATGCTCGTTGTGCTCAAGAAGTATATTTCCATTGACTTTAATGGGCATTTTATCAAGCCCTTAAGGAAAAATAATGTATATTTTAGCAATACTGTATGTTCTGACCTTTCATTCCTACACTCCAAAAGTGAAGAGTTAGGAGACTTTCTTGCCCTGTGAAAGGTTCTGGGGTGTTTCTAACACTGTCTCACCTGCAGGAATTCACTCGCTGGCTGCTGGCACTTCTGCTCCATCTCACTGATCAGGGAACTGAAAGAAGATATTTCCTCAGATAATTTGGCAACATACTCAGCCCCTGACTTTTCAATTTCCTTATTCAGCTCTTCCAACTGGGCCAGCAGGAGTCGCTCTTGTTCCTCCAAAAACTGGCGCAGTTGCTGAAATTCAGACACAGTCTTCTGCTTCTCAGTTTCTAGCTGTTTCTGAAATAACGAGATACGAACAGGAAAAGCACAGGTCAAGGACAAGACTACGGAGTGAGTCATGGGACATTTTATAAAGCAATGGGACATTTTATGCACATGGCATCATGTCATTGCAACCTCACAGAATTTAACTTCTGACATTTTATGGAGAACATTCTCCATGCTCAGTAGACAGAAGATTTTCCAATAGATTTTCAAGAGTCCTAACTGGTGTTTAGAATATGAATTTTTCTTGCATGATTCGAATAATCTGAGATCAGTGGCTTCTAGAAAACCAGATTCTTCTAGGAAGCACAGCAGGTGTGGGATTCAGAACTGGACCGGCAAGGATTATTTTAGTAGAGGAAACAGTAGAACCCAAACTAAGAAGCACTAGCCTTGAACTGGGGAACACAATCTGTCCACAAAATACATAGAGACATAAAGAGCATTTTTAAAAAAAGTACTAAAATTTGAGCTCCATCATTTGTTCTCATGAATTCTGAAAACAGTTTTGGATACATAAAAATTGGCACACCATAAATCTTCGATTTTAAGCCACACAGGGACCTTGAGCACAAATTGGGCTGTTGGGAAGACCCCTTTTTGGCAATGTCTAGCAGCGATACCATTAAGGGCCTGTTCCAAAGCTCACTGAACTGACCCGGAGTCTTTCCAATGACGTCCTTGGGCTTTGTCTTAGGCACTAAGTCTTTAGGGTTACCATATTTCAACACTGAAAAAAGAGGACACTCCACGGGGGCTCTGGCCCCGCCCCAACTCCGCCTCTTCCCCATCCCTGCCTCCACCCCCTCCCCACCCCCATTCCAACCCCTTCCCTAAAGTCCCCACCCCAACTCTGCCCCCTCCTCTGAGCACCCCACATTCCCCCTTCTCCCTCCCGCTCTGTTCTTGGTTGGGGGTTGCTAAGTGCTTCATAAACTGTAAAACGTTTGTAAAACCTACAAAGTGAGGGTGAAACAGAGAAAAGTCTGTGAGCAAAACAAGCGGCTAGTGAGGGAGACATGGTTATCTATAGGAGATGTTTTTATTTAAGAATCCATGGTAATACAAATAGTAATGA